ATTCCGACTATGTACTTTAAAATAATTTAACATGATTGTCTGAAGAGGAAATTAAGATTTTGTTCGTAGATGTCACTTTTTTACATATTCGCCATACAACCTTTATGCCCTTTTTTCGTCTTGAAGGTTTGGACATCAAAATAGACATTTATACACCATTCGATAGAGAATTGAAAGGGCTATTTTTTGTAGTATTTATATTTGGTAAATAAGAGAATCGACTTTTTCGCCCAATGTCCGCTTGGATGCCCACTGTGAGAAGTCAGATAGAAAAACTGTTCAGACGAAAGTTGTCTCTGACTTTAAGCTTTAAAATACCAACAAAAATTGCCTGTATGGTGAGAAACGTTCAGAAAGAGTTTCAGTTTTCTTCACACAAAATCATATTTCGAAATAGCGAGAAGAAAGGTATTAGATTTCAGGTATTAGAAAACGGTGATAGCAGAAACAAACTTCTAGTAGGCAATCCTGGTAAAGTGAGCTCTAAACGGCGTCAACTTGAAATTTCGAGTTCACTTTTCAGCAGTTCATATTTTACCAATTAACTATAGTCCTAATTTCATTGTTCATTTTTTCTTAAAGAATCAGTTTTACACTTAAGTTATAACTTTAAAAACAATCTACTCGACAAAAAACAAATAGAAAATTTCATATTATGACATGTTAAACACCGAACAGGGCGTACCTGCCGGGGGATGCGAATGAGGCATTACGACCCCTCTCCCGCTTCCGAATATTTTGTATTTTCCAGACGACAAAAAAGCTCTTTTTTAAAGACTATAGCGGCTGAATTGACAGGAATGAATATCTTACGCCCCACCTGCTTTAGAGACTTCGGTACGCCCCTGATGTCGAACCAACTAGAACAAAGTTTTTTCATATAACTATACTTTTAAATGAATTTAAATCTAAATTCATTTTTGACACAATATGTACGAATCAAATAACATAGAAATAATAATAAAAAGAAAAGAATTATTAAAGTTTATTTTTGCTCTAGAATGCAAAATAATCATAATCGAAAAGCTCAAGACAAAACGAAATCGATGAAATGGATGCTAATACTCATTGGTCAGTTCTTCCCAATACATTTCATTATTGATGACTCTATAAAACTGATAGAAAATCTATTAGAAAATCAGTTTATCGTAGTACAGAGTCAAAAACCTAAATGGAGTACAGAATTTTCTGCTGTACAAAACGGCGAAATAGGAGACTGTACCCCAAAATAGGGTACGTTTGGCAGCCCTGCTTCAGGAGGTACCCTTGTCCCTTTTTGACGGCTATCTAAGGGTATCCTTAGTACTTTTTTTCGGCTAGCTTGGGATACTGTCGGTACCTTTTCAACGGCTACATAAGGGTAGTACATATAGCTTTTGTGAGGCTACCTGGGAGCGGTCCTATAGATTTTTGGAGTCTCCTTCATGGAGGCCCATGTAAATTGTTTGGGACTACCCAAAGTTTGGTACAGATCACTTTTACGAAGGTATGCGGCGGTGGACCCTACAGTTTCTTGGGGCTTGACTAGAAGTGGTTCATATATCATTTTGGAGTTACTCGATGGCGCTCCCAAAAACATTATAATAAATACACCTACGCAGCTAGAAAAATTTATAACTTCCACCATCAGGTAGCTCTTAAAAACTTACCAAGGAGACCAAAAGATAGCGATTAAAAAGTGACTGAGGGTGCCTCCGGATTTCGTGGACGCCACAGATAGCCGTCTAAGGGGTGGTATGGGTACCCTCCCGATAGTTCTCAAAAATATATGAGCAGTACTCCCCGACAGCTCCAACTAGGTACTAAGAATTTCCCTAAATAGTCCACAAACAGTTACTAAGGGTGCCCCTATAGTAGAACACTAATTAGGTGAGGATTAATTAGTTAGGTAATAGCTAATTGAAGACTAATTAATTAATTAGTACCTATTTGAAGGATATTCATTGAAAGCTATTTGAGGTCATCGCCGAAATGCTTTGTCTGTAATAAATAATCACGGATGAACTGCAAACGGTTGGTAAAACATGGATGCATAAGTGAGCTCGAAATTTCAAGTTTACGTGTCTAGTTTACTCTTTTTGACCGCACATTGTGTGAATTTGGTCAATGAAATTAAGAATTCTGGGGGAGGAAGCTTTGGTGCATATGTCTATGATACCTGCTCATTTTCAATCTTTTTTAAAAAATAGAATTCTACGAGGAGACTCTCTTAGGTTTAAACCGTGTGAGCTTCTTTAGCTTTATCTCTGAAGATCAGTATCTTAGTAGAATCAACTTACTATTGCTTGTTGACGTAGTAGCCTCTAAAAAATGAAGAACATGTTTATATTTATTTTCAAAAGCTTAACGGAGTGCGGTCGTACTTTTATCCACCTTCGAAAGCATTGCAGCAATGATACCACAGACAACAGCTAAAACGAAACCAGTAAAAATCCCACACAAACACAATGATATTGGCGTGCATCTAGACGAAAAAGATAGATTTCAATATCTCTCAATGATACAAGGGCAATGCTTACCGAGTGTATCGTCGACGACGACGACGACGACGACGACGACGACGACGACGACGACGACGACGACGACGACGACGACGTCTTTTCTTTATAAGGTCTTCATGAGATAAGTCCAGCAAATTACTAATAACAATTTCAGGCAAGGACATTCCAAACACTACGTCTGGTTTATGAGAATCATGCTAGTTTAAACTTAAAATTACGTTTCTTCTACACATGAGATGAACTGATACTTACATGACTTGTCCACTTTCCCGAAAGAGATGATAAGGGTTCTGATATTTGAGGTATCAGATTACGGTTGCCATTTGTAATAAATTCAGTATCGAAAGCATGCTAAAAAAACACTTGGAAATTTTCTGTGTAACATTAGTCTTCCGTCAGGAATATTTTCGTGCACAAACATAGCTTGAAAAGGAGGTGGGACTGTATTTAAATTTAAAACGTAGTGCCAACACTGTCGCGCAATTAGTTAAAGAAGCATCCTTCAGTATTCACAGAAGCGATAGTCTTATAACAGAAGAAAAATGAGAAGTTTTCTGAATGGAGTGTAAGAAAGAGTCGTATAAAAGGTTTCATAGGAATCGCTCTCTTTTATTGCTTTATTTGATCATTTTAGGTGCTTTACCATTTGTGAGCCTGTCAAATTTCTAGTTTAGATTTTGAAATCTCCTATTCTAGTCTAACACTATCGCTAAAATTGAATCTATAAGTTCTTAGTTATTCATATTACCCACACGAAGATACGCGATTCAATTATCCTGTATAGCAGACTTGACTGTTGTCGTTCCTGTTTTGCTATCACCGTTTTGCGGGTAGTCATATATACGAACGAATTGCAACTTATTGGTATGATTGAAGTTTTAGCTGCATTTGCGTAATAACTTTTGTTCTCGTTGACCGATTTAGACAATTTTTTTATGTGTTACTCCTCTCTCAGTGTCCCACTGCCACACGAAACTTCAGCTCTCTAGCGCGTACCGTCGCGGACTTATAAACCTCACATTGTGTAAAAACCGTATTTATATGGAGGCGTACCGTGAATAAAAATTCGAGTATGACTTACTCTGTAGACTGAATTTTTGAAAATTATTATGTGAATAGCTCCTGAACAGCTGATTTGTTTTAGCTGGAATTTTTATTGTAGATACACTTCTTAGAGTTGTATAACCAGTAAAAACTTCACCTCTCGATCTCTTATCGTTCTCGAGATATTTACGTTATATGATGTAACGTAAAAGAACATTTTTCGATAAAACAACGTTTTTTAATGATACATTTATTGAAAGATGTCGTATCTCAGCTAATATGTGATAAAGTGTTAGAAAACTTTTGTTGTATAACATAGACATAGACTATAATAAATAACGTGAATCACATCGATTCACTCGGTCCATTGACTGTAAGTCGAATGAATATCGTGTCGAGAATAATCTTCATTTTATTGTAACTGAATCTTGTTACCACAGAATTCAGCAGAGATGTAGTTTTCCCATTCCGACATAGGGACAGGATCTTGGAATCCTCGACCGCCGGAATAAATTTATGAAAATTCTACGGAATAGGTAATCAACTACGAGGAATCCGAAGATGAGTATGAGACAACCCTAGGACGATTCTGTTGGTCAAAGATATTCTTTCGAG